GGAGTTGGGGGGTAGGTGTACTTCTATCCAATTTCCAGGGGAGGGAGAGAAAGAGAGAGTGGCACCCAACAACTTCAATTTTTTTCTCTTATTTTTTTTCTTTTTTTTTTTTTTTTTTTTTTTTTTTTTTTTTTTTTTTTGATTTTTTATTTTTCCCTCTTCTGCGCATAGTCACATTTTATAATCTTCTACTTTCTCACTATCTTTTTCTCTCTCTCTCTAGGTTCTCTATAATTTCCTAAGTTGGATATTTTCAAGTGGAAACTGATAAAAATCCTCTTTTGCATAACGTCGATCAGTAAAACAGATATCGCGTAATGTGTATTAATTAACGAATAATTATAGAAATAAATTAATCGCGAGAAAGTTATATCCATTGGAATTTAATAATTTTAATTTAGAATATAATTTGAAATATAAAGAAAAAGAGAGAGAGATATAGAGAGAAAGAAACAATTTAGTACGTCGAGAAAATGAGAAAAAAAATATTATAAATGAAGTTTAACAAAATGTCCATTTTTTTTTTTAAATCACATATATATAAAAATAAAAAGAAAAAGAATAAGGCTTAACACAAAACACAATCGTAGAAATAAAAATAATTTTAACAGAGAAAAGAAACGATGATAAGAGAAAGAGAAAGTGGTAGATGGAGTAGAAAAATAAAAAAGATAGGGAGCAAAAGGGTCGGGAGGGAGTTAGGGAATCGGAGAAAAAGAAGGAAAGAAAGGAAGAGTGAGTTAGTGAGTGAGTGAGTGTGTGAGGGCCAAGGGATTGATCCGAAGGCAACGTCGGCGCGTTTCCTTCAAGGTTAGCCAAAAGCCCTTGCGGCGTGCTGAGTGGGTCGGCGCGTTGAAAAATCGATAGCTACGAAAGTGAGAGTCTCGGGGCCGTTTCACCCTCCTCCTTTTTGTTCTTTCCGCTTGGCGTCCTTTTCCCTCCCACCCTCCCTACCTCCACTCTTTCCCTTGCCCTCATCCTCAGTCCTCAGCCCTCTCTCTCTCTCTCTCTCTCTCTTTCTATATTTATTTCTTTCTTTCTTTACTCCTTATTTCTGCAGTTTGGTTCATTCATATCGCACAAAGAGAGAGAAGACTACCAACACCATCAAAACACCATCACCACCACACTACCATCATCATCATCATCACTGCTATTATATACTACATGTGATTCTCTCTCTTTCTCTCTTCCTCTCTCTCGATATTACTAGCGAGAGATAAAGATAAAGATAAAGATAAAAATATCATAGTGTTGCGTTCTTTATCTCTCTTTCTATCTGTTCCGTTTTACTCTTTCATAGGCGCCATAATGACGCGCCTTTTACTCCCTCGTTCTTCTTCTTCCTCTCTTGTGTTATTCTTATTCTTAATTCGTCGTCTTCTTCTTATTCTTTTTCTTTTTCTTTGACCTCATCCTCTTGTACTTCTTCCCCTTCTCCTCCTCCTCCTCCTCCTCTTCCACCATTTACTTCTACTATTAACGTTTCGTTTTTACTAAAGACAACACCACCACTCACTCCTCCTCATCCTCACTTCACCTTCTTCTTTTCGCAATCGTTTGCCTCTCTTTTGTGAATTTAAACGATCTTTTTTACTTTTGGGGTGGGTGGAGGATAAGGTTGGGGGTTATACTTTTAAAGTTCAAGCGAAACATTCTTCGATGTTTCTACGATTTAGTTTGTTTGTTTGTTTAACGACAATAATTGAATATTAAATGAACGCAGTTAACAGAATTGTTGCACTTAAATGATCAGACCTGAAAACCAAGCTTATGTACCGAAATAATTCAATTATATTGTTTCTATTTTTTTCTTTTTTTCTCGTTAATGTGTTTTACGTTAAATCAAAAACGATCATAATATTAATGAATTTTATTTCGTTTTTCCTTACGCTACAATAAACATTGTATTTTTGTTTTCTTTCTTTGCAGCAGCAGCGGTGCCAGTACAAATAAAATTCTCGTTAGTAACCTTCCAATTAACGTCAGATTAGACGATTTCGAATCACTTTTATTGAACTACGGACAAGTTCAAGTCCTCGAAAAAGTGTCTCCGCGGGATCCAAATACACTTTCCTACCTTGTCAGCTATGAAACCCCAGAACAGGCACAGCAGTGAGTATAACTTGTAATATTTTATTTAATTATATATCATTTACACTCGCGCGCGCGCGCGCGCGTCACTCGATAATTCGGTCGAATGAAAATTGTTAAACAATTGTAGATAATTTGTCACGGTCAGTAAAATATATATTTTTCCTCGTTTAACATTACTTCAATATTGAAAAACATAAATTGTTAATGTAATATTAATCATATGAAATAAAAATCGGACCACAAATGGTATAGATTCTTCAAATCGTTATCATCCTGTTGTTGTTTTTCTTATTTAAACGCAGGGCTGTGACACAATTCAATGGGTATGAGTACGAGGGTAACTCATTAAAGGTGGAAATGGCTTCGGCGGAAACCCGACGAAGAGCCCGTAACCAGCGCACCGCTGCATTTTCCGGAGCACCGGGATCCGGCCGACAGACGGATTTCCCGCTGCGTATATTAGTGCAGTCGGATATGGTCGGGGCAATCATCGGACGACAGGGGACAACGATTCGTCATATTACGCAATCGTCTAGAGCAAGGGTCGACGTTCATCGAAAGGATAACGTCGGATGCGTTGAAAAAGCCATAACGATTTATGGCAATCCAGAGAACTGTACAAATGCGTGCAAGAAGATCCTCGAGGTAATGCAACAAGAGGCCGCTAACACAAACAAAGGGTAAGTTCAATGAAATGATATTAGAACAAATCTTAAGTAGTAGAATTAAGTTTAGTAATTAGAATTTCATTTTCTTTATATTAAAGAAAATTTTTCCGTTCGTTTCCCAGAGACATTATGTTGAAGATCCTGGCGCACAATAATCTAATCGGACGTATTATCGGCAAGGGTGGTAATACGATTAAAAGAATCATGCAAGATACTGAATCTAAGATCACTGTTAGCAGTATCAATGATATTAACAGCTTTAATTTAGAACGTATCATCACGGTTAAGGGTACGATTGATAATATGAGCAAAGCCGAGTCAATGATCTCGAGCAAATTGCGCCAGAGTTATGAGAACGATTTGCAAGCCATGGCAGTAAGTTATTTATTATTGATAATCTTTTTCACACAAACACACAAACAATATATCAACGAATCAATTTCTTGACTGAATGAAAAAATTCGAATTGAATTGTGCAGCCACAAACCATGATGTTCCCTGGATTGCATCCAATGGCCATGATGTCAACAGCTGGTATGGGGTATAGCTCGCGTGGAACAGCCCTTTATGGTTCTGGTCCAACCCCATATTCCTACACAAGTAGCTTACCGTCCTCGTCTGTACCTTCTAGCGAAACTCAGGAAACTACGTTCCTCTACATTCCTAATAGCAGCGTAGGTGCTATTATAGGTACTAAGGGATCTCATATTAGAAATATCATCAGGTTTTCCGGAGCAAGCGTTAAAATTGCTCCATTAGAACAAGACAAACCTGCGGATCAACAAACAGAAAGGAAAGTTACCATTGTTGGATCACCCGAATCTCAATGGAAAGTAAGTGGTAAAACCTCTTCAAGTTGCTTTCACTTATTCGTTGTATTCGTTGGCTTCGCGTAACTGGCGTTGGTCTGATAAAACCATGATCGTCGGTTCGAAACCAACCGTCGGATATTATTTTCTCGGAAAATAATAATAGAATCTCTTTAAATATGTTTTATCCTACTCATTTGGGCCTGTGCTGTTTTACGTAAGCATTAGGTCTAGACATAGTAGGTAGATTAAACAAATATAAAGGGCCCCGTACTGATTAACACCATTTGTAATAATACTTGTGTCATTCGGTTCCGTATAAACCCTTTAACATTTTTTTCTTTTTTTTTTTCAAATATTTAACACACATGTACGATATTTTTAAAATAAATCATCGAAGCGTAGTTCTATTCGAAAAGTATGTTTCGTCTTTTGAAATTTGTTCTGCAACGTGGACACTGTTTTATTTTCTACGATCCATTTTTTTGGTTTTTCTTGAATAAATCTACGCGATCCTGTTAAGTGTCGAAGATAAAATCCTAATACCTAATTTTACTAATGATATTGTAATATTTTTCAGGCTCAGTATTTGATCTTTGAAAAGATGCGCGAGGAAGGTTTTGTCGCTGGTACAGAAGATGTAAGGCTCACCATAGAAATTTTAGTACCAAGCGCTCAGGTAGGCCGAATCATTGGCAAGGGTGGACAAAACGTTAGGGAACTGCAGCGTGCAACTGGAAGCGTCATCAAGTTATCGGAACAACAAGCCACGCCTCCCTCTGCCGATGAAGAAACCACCGTTCATATTACTGGACCATTCTTTTCAGTTCAGGTAGGGATTTATTACCATTCCACCCTATATATGGGGGCGGGTCGATAAGTTTTGAACCTAACACGAGTTGGATTGAAGAATTTAAAAAAGAAAAAGATCACCGGTGTCCTGTGAACTTAATTGTTGTCTCCCCTTTGTCAGACAATGTTGCAATAAATGCATTTTTCGAATAAAATTTGTCTTTTTTTCAGTCTGCCCAAAGAAGGATAAGATCGATGGTCCTCCAATCCGTAGCACCAGGAGGTGCAGGTGGTGCAGGTGCACGTGTTGGTCGTGGTAGCAGTCAAGAAGGGGGTTCCCGTTCTCGACGAGATGGCAGTGCCACATCTCAACAAGGAGGAACAACCCCACAAGTTCAACCACAATCAGTTTCTCAACCACAAACTGGCATGTCTTCGCCATCATCAAGCCAACAACAACAGCAGTCGCAGCAACAACAACAGCAACCGCAACAATCGTTGACACAGCAACAACCTCAATCACCGCAGCAATCACCACAAAATCAGTAACCTCGATGTGATGGGGGATTTAAACAAAAAAATAGAATGGAAAAAGAATTAACTGCAACAACAATAACCAACAATCAACAACATCAATTAACAACAACAACAACAACAACAACAATTACAACAAACAATAATTGAATGCTGGCTCTAGCAGCCACTTATAAAATTCACAAAAAATAACCAACAAACAAACATTGAATTTTGCTCGACGGGGGGGAGGTGTTGTAGCCTCCTCCCCTGGGTGGTGAGTCTCTCATCGAGAGAGGCAGCTGTTTATAAATGAGAAAACAAACCCCCCCTCTCGCGGAGAGATTACGCTTTCCCACTTTTTTTCGAGCATAAGCATATTAATGAAAATAGGGATAGTTTAAGACTTAAAAAGGAGATGATTAAATTTTTTTGTTAAAGAAAGAAAGAAAGGGTGAGAGAGAAAGAGACAGACGGGTAATCATATTGAGTAGTAGATGATTTAAAAAAAAGATTAATTAGGCGAAAATGATGATAATGATGATAATGATGATTTAAAAAAATGCGATTTAAGGTTAGGAGACTGCGTGAGTTCTCGCGCGATGCACAGAGATATTTACCCCCGGCATACCAACGAATATTATTATCATTTTATCTTAATTTATTTATTTTTTTTTTCTTTTTTTTTTTTTTTTTTTTTTTTTTTCAAAAATATTATAACTTTACCCAAAAAAACATAAAAAAAAGAATTAAAAAAAAAACCACAAAAAAAAAATTAACAAAAAATATCATTCCAATGCCAGGAAGCCAATAATATTATTATTATACTTCTTTTTTTTTCTTTTTTTTTTTTTTTTTTTTTTAAACAACCCCTCTCGCCACCTGCCAATCACAGCCAACTCTCACTACCGATCACAACCTATACCGTGTTTGGTAGCTTAATGTTTTTTTTTTGTTTTTTTTTTGTCCTTTCCCCCCTTGGCTATTTTATTTCTCTGTTTGTTTGATTTTTGGTTTCCTCAAACGAACACGCGCAGGTGTCAGGGAAACAATAATAATGCGAGATGATTAATTAATATTTAGGTGTACATATGATGATAATAATAATCATAATAATCATATTAATAATTATATTAATAAAATACCTCTCTCTTTTTCTTTGCCAACGAAGAAGCGAATAATTTTTAAACAGAATAATTACAAGATAGAAAGAGATAGAGAGAGAGAAGATGATGATAGTAATGATGATGATGATGATGTTGATATTAATGATGATGATGATAATGATGATGATGATGATGATGATGATGATGATGATGATGCGAAAGCAATCATAAGAAAGTAAGAAAGAAAGAGAAGAAAGACAAAAGAAAAGAAAGAAATAGAAGAAAGAAACAGTTCATAGAAATAAGGGAACAAAAATGGGAGTTTAATTGTTTATAGTGTTTGTTTGATGATGATGATGATGATGATGATGATGATGATGATGATGATGAGAGTGCTTTTGCTGCAGCACACTCTTTTGCGCGTATTTTTCGTGGTTAGTGCAGATAGATAAAAGGATTCTTGTTGACAGTGTCATTTGTGTGCATTTACACCCCCTCCCTCCCCCGAATAATAATGGGAGTGTCAACCCCCCGTCTCCCTGCTGCACCCTCGAATCCTCCCAATTTTGTTTCCCCACGTTTCTATAATTTCTTCTTCGAGAAACCCTTCAAAGAAAATTGAAACAGCGCTTTTAAGAAAAGAAAAAAAAAAACTGAAATTGGGGTTACAAAACAGATGATGATTTTTTTTGTCTATATCGTTAGAACATTAAGAGTGATTTTTTGATTTTTTTTTTTTTTCTCTATTTGTATATTTATATAATATTACATTATTAGTTTCGTGCATGCCTACTCTCCAGTTAATCCAAAATTCTAAACGAAACGACTCGTGCGAACGTCGCCGCCGCCGCCGTCGCCGCCGCGCTCCCGTTGTGTGTTGAAAAAATAAAAAAAAAAAAAAAATTATGTTCGCATTGTGAAAAAGTTTTGGTTTCGTTTTTAATTTTTTTTTTTTTTTTTTTTTTTTTTTTGGTCTCTCTTATTCGTTGGTTAACCGCTCTTTTGTATCTCTGCGCATCGCATTAATCAATTAGTTATATAGAAAAAAAAAGAAAAAAGTATGATAAAAACAACTGCAACTGCAATTGCAACTGCAACAGCAACTACAACAGCAACTACAACAAATTACCCGTCTTCTCTCTTAATGGGAGAAAGAAAAAGAAAGAGAAGGGGTGGGAGGGAGATAGGAAAGAAATGGTGGGAGGTCGTTTATTCTACTTGAAAAACTAGTGATGTGGGGGGTGGTACTCGACTAATCGATCAATCAGGGTTAAATGATATAAACCACCTCGCCGATGAAATAGGATACGACTATGATAACGATATGATTAAACACACACAACCTTTTTACCTCATTCATTATGGTTAAAGATTTAATATTGATTAAAGAGCAGTGTAATGGGAAGGGGAGTTTTAAAGGATAATAAGTAAATCAATAAATAATCTAAATAAAGGAATTAACAAAATAATAATAATAATAATAATAATAAATAATAATAAATAAATAAATAAATAAAATAAATAATAAATAATAAATAATAAATAAATAAATAATTAAAAAAAATAAATAAATGTGAAATGAAATGAAATGAATTGAATTGAATTGAAGTGAAATGTGAAGGAAGAAAAAGAAATGAAGATGAATACATGAAAAGAGAGTTGGTGAAGATGATGATGATGATGATTATGATAATGATGATAATGATTGATGATAAAGATGAACAAGAGAAGAAGAAGAAGTTTAATATTAAAGTTAATAATAATATACAGAGAAAAAGGGAGAATAGAAAGAAAGAAGAAGAAGAGTTAAAAGTGACGATTATGCATTATGTTATAACTGTTACTACTGCTATTATTATTATTATTACTACTACTACTACTACTATTACTATTCTTACAACTTACCACTACTATTATTATTACTACTACTACTACTATTACTATTACTATTACTACTACCACTACCACTACCGCAATTATTGCTATTTACTACTTTTACTAATTACAACCGGTAAAAGATAAAGAGAAAACAAAAGGAAGGAACTAAAATGGCGACATATTTTTCAATCTATTTTTTTTTTTTTTTCTTACTTTTCTTTTCTTCAATGTTTTTTTTTCTTACTAAATACATATAATACACACATACATAAATATACACATGCCAGCCTATTACATATACATACATATACATCCATACCTACACACACACACGCATACGCGCGTTCCATTAGAAATATATTTAGAAAAGATGAAGAAAAAAAACTTAACGTCTACTACTACTACGTTTACGTATATATTAATATATAAAAATAATGATTAAAGAAAATAGACATCCGGAAATCTAAAATATGATGTTGTCGAGTAACAGTTCGGATTTGATTTTTCTATTTTTCTTTTAACCACGAGAATAATTTGTGGGAATAAAAAGGAAAAAGAATATATAATACGATTGAAATAATTATTATTAACATTAGACACTCTTGATCATACTTAATACGAATTATGGTAAAAAAACACCATACAACACTCGTTTAATTCTTCTAAAACTATTAATTACTAATACCATAAAACCATTCTCAAATAAAACAAGAAAAAAAGGATACTACAACTATACTACTGCTGATGTTGATGATGATAATTATGATGATGATGATGATCATGATGATGATGATGATGAAGATGATATTATTACTGCTGCTGCTGCTGTTTTCTACCGCTTCTTCTTCTTCTTCTTCTCAGGCAGCAGGTGTGCATACGTGTGTGTTAGACCCCCTCCCCTCGTAAAATAATAATACCAAAGAAGCGATTATGAGATCTTTCTTTTCTCTCTCTCTCTCCTTCCTGTAGATTATTTTCTTTGAATTTTTGTCTTTTTCTTTTTTTGTAATAATAAATTCTGTTCAAACAATAATTGATTTTTATTAGCTTATCCGAAATATTACAACATAAATAAAATTCATTTAATTAAAGTATAATTATGTGTGTAAAAGGGTGGAAAATCATATTAACAATTTTTGTTTTGTTTTGGTTTTTTTTTTTTTTTTATTATCTTACAAATAATTCAACTCACATAAATAAAAAAAGAAAAAGAGAGAGAGAGAGAGAAGGAGAGGGGAAGGCGGGATACACACCGGATTTACAAAAAGTAAAATAAAACGAGTTTATGGAGAAAAAAAAAGAAAGTGAAAAGAAAACCAACAAAAAAAATGAAGAACGAGAGAAAAGAGAGGAGGAGGAATATAAAAATTTAAGGATGAACAAATGAAATTAAATTGAAATATCATCGACGAACGAGAGAGAGAGAGAGAGATCATCAAAAAAACGGGTAATCGTTTGGGGAAATTAAAATGACAAAAAGTGAAAGAAAGAAAAGAAGAGAAAATAAAAACAAGTTTGAAGACTGTTTATAATAATAATAATAATAATAATTATTAATAATAATTATATTAATAATAATAATAATAATAATAATATGAAAAAAATCACCGACGATGGGACCCCTGATTGAAAAAAAAGAAAAAATGGAAATGAAAAGAACTATCATCAATGGATTAAAAAAAGAAAAGAAAAAACAACATGATGCATTAATTTTTGGCAAACACACACACAAAAATGGGACTATCCAATAAAATATCTTCAAGGAATTTCTATATAAAAATAAAATTGAATAAGAGAGAGAAAATATTTAATCGCGTAAAAATATAAATTAAATATTAACGAACCGTCGTTGGTAGAGGAGTAAAATATTGCAAAAGGTTCGGAGAGGTGTTGAAGAATTAAAACGAAAAAAAAAAAATATAATAACATTAATTAAATAATAAATAAATATATATATATATATATATACATATATATATATTATATATATATATGTATATGTATATGTATATATATATGTGTGTGTGTATACGTGTGCGTGTGTATATTTACGTTCTCGTGTGTGCGTGTGCGTGCGTGTGCGTGCGTGCGTGTTGTTACGTACAATTATATAAATATATATGTGTATATGTAGATATATATATTTATATACATATTTATGTGAACTAAATGCGTAAATTAATCGAAGATGCATACGTGTATGGAGAAAATAATCGTGTGTATGTTTTGTATTTACGTATGTAAGTGTACATATGTATATTAAATGTATATACATGAAATGAAAAATGAAAATAATATCACACACACATATATATATATATATAGATATATATGTATATATATACATGTGTAAAAAGAAAAACTAATTTAGGACGTGATAAAAATTGATTAGGGGGAGAACAATTAATTGCTAAATGAGAGACGGGGAAAGAGAAAGAGATGAGAAAGTATGAGAAAAAAGAAAAGAATAGTAAACAACAACAACAACAACAACAATAACTACAACTAAAAGAACACATACATACAACAAAGGAATTTCTACCTTCGATCTTGGATGTAAAATATTGTGTGAGCGTGTGAGTGTGCTACAAAAAAAGGAAAAAAAAAAAACAAAACATAAAAATAATTCTAATTAATTGATAAGTGATACAATTATTAACTGGATTATACAAAAATGGAATCGTATATA